GGGGGGGGGGAACGGGGCGACCCCACGGCCACGCCCCGGGTGGGGAGCGGGGCCCCGTGATGGGGAACGGGGGCCCTCCGAGAAGGGAGAGGGGAGCCCCCCGGAATGGAGAGTGGGAGCCCCGGGAATAGACAGCAGGACCCCCGGGAAGACAGAGCGGGACCCCTGGGAAGGGAGAGCAGGAGCCCTGGGAATGGAGAGCGGGACCCTCAGGAAGAGAGAGTAGGACCCCCAGGAAGGGAGAGCGGGACCCCTGGGAATAGAGAGCAGGAGCCCTGGGAATGGAGAGCGGGACCCTCAGGAAGAGAGAGCGGGACCCCTGGGAATGGAGAGCAGGAGCCCTGGGACTGGAGAGTGGAGGCCCCGGGAAGAGAGAGTAGGACCCCCAGGAAGAGAGAGTGGGAGCCACAGGAAGGGAGCAGGACCCCTAGGAATAGAGAGCGGGACCCCCGGGAAGGGAGAGCAGGACCCCCAGGCACGGTGCTGGGACCACCCAGGGCAGAGCAAGGCCCCACCCCAGGGGAGTGGGAGAGTGGGGGGACCCCCCGGGGTGACACAGCACCCCCCTCCCACGAGTGGGATGCCAGGGCAGGGACCCTGGGGGGGCTCAGCGTCCAGCCCCCCCCCCCAACTTCATAACCCCCCCGGGGGCTGGGCACTTCCCCTGGCTGGAGGGGGGGCCGGGGCTGCCAGGAGGGTCCCCCGGGACCCCCCGAGAGGGCAGGGGACGCCCCTGCAGGGTGCTGGGGGGGTCCAGGCAGGGAGGGGGCCGGAGAGCGGGGCTCGCCATGACGGGGGGGGATAACGGGACGGGACAGGGGGGTCCTTGGGGGGCGGAGCCCAGGCCACCTGCCTGCGCGAACCGCCCGGCCAATCAGCACTCGCGGACAGCCCGGCCAGCAGTCAGTCCAGCTGGCCAATCAGCACTCGTGGGCCACCCGACCAATCGGCACGGCTGCAGCTTAGCCAATCATCACACAAAGAGCTCAACCAGTCAGCAAGTACCGACGGCCCAGCCAGGCAGAGGCCAAGCACATAGAGTCTACCTAGTCAGCACGCAGGTATCCGGAGCCCAGCCAATCAGCACTCAGTTATCCAGAGCCCAGCCAATCAGCACTCCCGCAGAACCCCGGGGACCCTGGGCGCGGGGGCGGGGCGGAGGGGGTCGGAGGGGTGATGGCCGCAGCCCCCCGGTGCATGCCGGGACGGATGCGGACCGCTGCGGGCAGCAGGGTCCCGCCAGACCCCTCCTGCCCCCCCCC